CCTATCTCAACATCAAAAGCCATTCGATGTTTCAATTGAATATTTCCATCAAAGCAACCTATATACTTTAAAAAGCATGACAGTGGAGTTAAATGTGACCGGGGAGGCATTAAATATTATTTTCAGTTACTGTGTCAAGCAATAATCAATTTTTGAAATTTGAAGTGTTATACACGGTGTTGCTGATCACCACCAGTAAATTGCGATTTATATCAGAGGTTAATGTCAATATGTTAATGTTCTCTATAAAATTATTTATTTAGTATTTTTCTAGTTTGACAATTGCTATTTATTTTCATATACTTCCGAATATCACCTACAGATTGGACAAAACTGAATCCCTCAAATAATAAAAACTCATTGAACTGAATTAATTTTTACTACAGATAACCTCAAATTAATGGAAAAAAAATTGTTGCTGCCGTTATGCCCTCGCCAGGAATGAAACCCGAGTGTCTGGCGTTATAGACCATTGCTTAGTGACACCAGCAACAACTTTTCGTCATTAATTTGAGGTTATCTCACGTTGTAAAAATTAATTCACTTCTATGTATTGAAAACCTTACGAAAATTGAAGATTTATATAATTAGGATTGGGCGATTATTAACTTTAACAATCTTTTTAAAGACTGAATGTAATCGACTAAATGATTAATCATAAATTTGTCCAGTTCTAATTATAATACGTAACCCTGGTTATTTCAAATATCTAATTATTTTAACTGGGCTTTTATTCGCTGGGTTCGCGATGGAAGCGCCACCTGGCGGTTACAGTTACGGCGGACTAAAATGTCAAATGGCTAGCTGTCATGACGAAGAATAAGTAAACAAAGAAACAATTTATAAGAAACATCGTCATTTACACATGTTCTATTCGATCATACAAATGTATACTGTCGATAATAACGCTAATTTTTTTTATTTCTCGTCTAAAATGGCACAATAAATTAATTTCAGATAGTACACACGGTTTTTTTTTGTAACTGTCTTCGTAAAAAGTAAATAAATAAACAAATTTAATTGAATAACACATTTCATATATATTGTAGACAATTATTTATGAGTGTAGGGTTGTAAGCAATGCATAATGTTTATGTATTTTAGTTAAATATGGCTAAATTATAGCAATTATCCATTTCATTCGTTGTTCTCGTTTCCACCTTGCTTGTGGAAATTTATAGAATTTGTGATTACTGTTTTTGCCACTGTTTTTGTAGTTAACTACGCAGTAGGTTTGTTGCCGCATATTTATTTATTTTTGCCTAATAATGCAGGGATACGTAAATTTCATTAGTAAATAGTGACACTTGGTCCGCCGAAAGTTCCTTGTTTGGCCACGGCGCGCGCTGCGAACGAATCGTAGTTCTCCCACCACCTACTTCGCACACAGCAAATAGTGATAATTTTATAATAACAATCAAATGAGTCACAATTTATCTGAATTTTCGACTATTTAGAAAGTTTTTAAACTTCAAATAAAGTTATTTTAAATTCTCAGAACTACTGTTCTACTGAAGAATAAATAAAAAATATAAGTTGTAGCTTCATGGGTTATGGACATGAAATAAATAAACATCACTCATTATTATAAATACATATATGTAATACAGATTTTGAAACCTTTGTGGATCTATCAAAATTTTTAAATTCAGATTGGTGCACTCGAAACTTCTTTCGAACAGTAAATAAAAATTTGATTAACCATAAGCCACATGATCACAATCTTTTCATATTGAACTGTTCAAAGAAATAATAAATGCATTCTCAAATCTCTAGCATTATATCTCAATCAAAATAAATCTAATTCTATTCATTTTACGTTTTGTATTTTAATTGTCAACTATGCTGAAGACAATGATGATTAACTTATCCTGACAAAAATGTTAATTTTTCAGGATAGCTAATGAAGGTACAATGGAACAACGAAACGTTGAATCTTATTCATTGGTCATATATTTGCATACTATCCAACTTGCATAATATCATGGATTTCACGTATATCTAACAGTAAATTAAAATGAAAGCAATATTGTGCTTTTTTTTAATAATTTTCTTACAATTAACGCTTTCTACTTGGCAACATTGCTCGTGTTATTCAGTTGTTAGCCTGGTGCTGGTGGTTGCAAGACAATGAAGGCGAAAACAATCATCATCTCCATAGAGATGCTCCGTTCCACTGTCACCCCGGGCACCATGCGACTCTCAATACAATGAACCGTTTCCAACAATGTCTTTACTGAAGGCAGATGTAGTAGTACATACTACTTTTTAAAACAGTAATCGCGCAGTTAAGTTTACCGCCCAATTCTAACAAGACATTAGTGTAATTGTGTAAGCATACTGGCAACGTGGCATTCCATGTAGATGCGGGGAATCACCCAATCATAACTGATAACCATCTAACTACTATACGTACGTGTATGTTAGAGTTTCTAGTCTTTTTTTTTGATATAAAAGAGAACTTATTTTGCTACGACATGTACATACAATGTGTAGGAATATATTGATCATGATCATAAGGTCGTCAGTCCTAAAAATTGTTGGACATTTCCCAAAAACTAGAACATCCCACATCCTTAACTTTTTGCGAACAGTAATCCAATCTAGATCCTCTAATATGTCTCTGACTAGACCTTCATACATGAGATGTCCTACCAACCTATCTCGCCTATTTTTTATTAACTTCCAGAGTCCTTTGTTTTCCTATTCTTTCTAACACCTCTTCATTTCTAACCTTCTCTATCTACGGTATCGTCTTCATTCGTCTGTCACACCACATTTCGAACCCTTGTAACTTCTTCTTTTCCGCAGCGCAATCTTTAACAATCTTTTTCGAATTTCTAAATTAATCGTTCGCGAGCATAGAAGTGACTTCTTTGTATTGAAGGTGACTCGACCCTGCACTATCCTCTGCTATATATCCCTACTACTAAGGTGACCATATTTTTTTATTTCCAGGACGGGAACTGGTACCGGGGGGGGGTAGTTAAGTTAAATAACTTAAATATGATTTTTTTAATAA